AGCCTCAACTGTCACCCGAAAACTCATCTCAAATATTAATAAAGGTCATGACCTCTTTTTACTCTCAAATGGCAACATTCTACACAATCTCTAATAATGAAACAATTGCTTAGATGACCCAATTTAAAACTTTTAACAATCAAAACGGATTATTGATTAATGAAATTGAATGTTACTTCATCTGGATTAGATACTCTTGTTATAAGGACATTATCTAAATAGGTAGTACTAGTTTGAAACATTATCAAATCTAACCTGAAAGGAAGTCTCATAAATTAGTTAAAAAATGATGTACTAAAGTGCCCAACCTGTAATAAAATATTATTTCATGAATCCTGAACTATCCTTATGATACTGATCAAATCCTTTAACAATAATAAGATTATTTACAGTACAACTGATTCTATAATTTAAAGGAAATTTTAACAATGGGCACGAACCCGAAAATCAATACGGGCTTGTATAAACAGAGGGTTGGAATCTAATAAGATTTTATGTGAATCAACCCCTGGAGAAAATGGCCGAGCGCCATCAGATGCACAAAGATGGCGCGCGCATGCGCCGAGCGCCGTTCGATACGTGCACCCTCTGGCTTGGGCCATCAATCTCACTACAACATTATTTTACTCTACAAAAACTACTTCGGATTGATATAATCAGTAATCACAAACACCAACACTGACACGGACACTATGCCAACATGATAAAACACTGATTTTTCAGTTCAGCTGCTCCTTCTGCTCCGAACTTCCAGTTCCTGTGGACAGATAAACACGGCACAAAAATGGGAAAAACAAATCTTCATCTTGATCTTCGGTGAACCAGCTCCGATGATAGTGCAACGCCTCGACCAGCTTGTCCGGACGCAGCAGTAGCCAGCACGTACTGCTGTGACAGGACAATATGGTCGGGCGCGCGAGGCGGCGGCGGCGGGCGTCGGCAGGCGTGTGAGGCAGCGTGGCCCGGCGCCGCGCCCCGCCGCCCCCGCGCACGCGCCAAGCGGCCCCAGCCTGCCTCACCCCATCGCACCCTGAATGAACACCCTCAATCAACTATCGATTTTCCCATACAAAAAAACGTTAATTCATTATCTTGGGCGAAAATTTCCAAAAATTATGGGTTGGCAGGCAATAAAATGGTACTAACAACTGCTTAAACACACAATAAGCATGATTAAGTGGACAAATATTTGTTGTAGTTCTAGTAAGAAAGGTGAAAGGTCTTGGGCGGAAAATATTGACGGACTAAGAATTTCTGCAGTCTCAAGAAATTCCGAATATTCCAGTTTTTAATTTGAAATTCCAAACAAAATAAATAAGATTACGAAGAAAAATAACTTGCAAGAATAAGAAGAAAGTTTTACTTTGATTCCAAATAAAATATTATACTAAAAAGAACAAAAGAAAATAGTAGAATAGCCAGGAATAAATAGAATAGTCATTCTAAGGCTTGATTTCTCGCAGATCATGAATATAAACTGTAATATTCCTAAAGCCTATAAACACATAATCATAAAAACTACTAATAACTTTGATCCTTTGGTAATTTCTAGAAGTTTATCTTTGCCAACTACAATAAATTCCTTCACCCCAATAATTTTCATCACTTATCTAATTCGCAGCAGGTCATCGACCGGGCGGATCGCGGTATAGATTCAACACACCCCGCGCTTTCATTCCAGACTTGAAAGCCACTGGTCCCACGACAGTTGCTTTCAAAATTTGCAAAACTCACCCTTATTGTTAGGAACCTAATAGAGATTTTCCCAATCGGTCGCGATCACGCGAAGGGAATAGGTGTGCCAGTGCGAGACGAACGTGGGCGTCTGTTGCCCTGTCCCCACAATTATTTTACGCGATTTATTCTACCTACTATCTTAGATCCCTTTTTCACAAACACTCCAGTTTTCAGGCTGTATTCAAGTACATTACGAATCTTGTATTTTTTTTTACTTGATAAAAAGAGTTTGATGTAAACCAAGATAGAATCACCAAGACCCAGTTCCTAAATTGAGATTTTTGGCTTGAGCGTGCTTAGCTTCTAATCAATCAGAATGTAGAAGACTAAGGTCGAGTTGCACCACCTAACTTTAACTGTAACTATAACGATAACCGGTGTATTTTGTTTAGAGTTCGACTGACTTGACGTTTGTGTCCGATACTTATAATAATATTATATTGTTAAAATAATTAAAAGTTAAAGTAAGATCGTGTAACTCAAGTTAAGAAGTAGAAGATGAGCACGCTCAAGCTGGAAATGTTAATTCAGAAACGGGGCCCATATTATCTAGGTATATTAAGACGTACTTATGGGTTTTAATTTCTTAAAGTCCTTTCGAGAAAGAGAAATGATAAATGAACACCATAACGAAATTATAATCGAAGCACAGAGCAACTTTCAAATCTAACTTCTAAGATACCTATCACAGTCGATTGCCTGTAGTTGCACCACAGCTCCTTTTTTCAATTGGATTATGTAATTTCCATCAGCTATTTGCCGCAATCGGCGGTCGTGACAAAGTATTTCGCCGCCAAATGGTAGGTCAGAGGTGAAACTGGAGGCAATTTATAGTACCTTCATGTCTGAAGGGCGTCAGACGTAATCTAGTTCTTACACTGTCTGACAAGACATCTATTGATGGGCTCTTGATTTATAAGTTTGAGGACAAATCTATTGAACTTTTACTGTTACTGAAATTTTGTACTTAATGTAAAGTGAGCTTTCAAAATCCATGTAGCGAGAATAAGTAGGTACCTACATAGTTTTCTTATTCAGTCCTAAAAACGTCACCTTTTGCAAAGATTTCATTTAATTTCTGTCCCGTAACTGAGGCTTTAAGGCGAGTTTTTATTTATTTACTTTTAAAAGAATTCCTTCCGGGCAACGAGTCTTGCCACCAAAATCCCTCGGACATTGCGTCTTGTAAAAAGATAAATGGCCCGCCGCCCTTGATTTATAGTTGTCAGGAATTGTTAAAAGAGATCCTTCGCCTAACATCTATCACATAACTTTCTGACGGAGGATTAAGGGACGTTTAATATGTTAATCCAAAGAAATTTGCGGATTTCTAAGAAAGTATTCGATGGTGCATCCCCTACTTAAGCATTTTGGAAATTAATCATCATAATTTATACACCTACCTACTTCTAAGATTATTGCTATAAAAAACGAAGTGTTTGCCATGTTATCCTAAGGGAAGTAGTAAGCTACTAAAGTTAAACAATTAAAGTTAGTCGTTTTTTTCTATTGAATGTGACCTAAATAATAACAGCAACACGTAGCATAAAAGCCGTCAAATATTTGATTTGCGAAAACCGACTCTAGGAAAATAGATATCACAAAAGGTTTTCTTTTCACTCCCCTCCTGAACAATACGGAAAACACTTGCGGGATAATAATAATAATAATAACAATAATAATTTATTCATTAAAATNGTACCAAAATATGCCTGAAACGTTTTAAAATTGTATTGTTTATATTATCCCATCCAGCCGCACAGTTGTTCTTCAGCCCTATGATTATGCGATCTATTTCTTCTTCATCCGTGTCCAACAACGCAAAAGTTTCAGCATTGTAACTCTGCTGGTGCATAGCCGACTGGTTGTAAGTGCGTTTTGGTACTTTTTCAGCCAGGTTCTTTCCTACGTTAGCAAAATAGTTATTTACATTATTAGCTGAGAGAAGCGGTGCCGAATTTGTTAGTAATAGGCTCGAACTAGAATCATGCTGTTTTGTAGTGTATGTGACTTGCTTTATGTGTTTCCAAAGTTCCTTACTATTGTTACTTGCTTTTTCCAGTTCATTTTTATCATAATTAGTTTTCAGCTTCTTTAAGAGATTATTACAGAAATTTCTGTATCTCTTATACGATACTTGAAGCACAATATTGTGGGGATTACTTTTGGCCTTCTGGTGATAAAGGTAACTATAGACATATAGAGCATATACCGATTGCTTGAGTGGGACAGAGACAGCGATGTGTTCAGCTTACTGCCAAGAAATGCGCAGCGTGAAGATGTGTGGAGCAGCTGGAAAATAAAAGAACGAGTCCATTTCAATAAACGTGGGATATCTCTTTGGAGGGTACTATTTTCTGGCTGCGAATTTTCTGGGAAAATTAATGGCAGAGATGCTTTTTATGAATTACTAGCTGACCCGGCGAACTTCGTACCGCCTTAGCGTAGAGATTTTCTTAATATTTTTTTCCGTAAGAACCATCCTTGGACTTCCACAAACATTTAAAAAAAAGAATTATCGAAATCGGTTCAGCCGTTCACACGTGATGCCGTGACAACGCGAAACGGGTTTCATTTTTATATATATAGATTTCATGTTACATTTATAAAAGAAAAAAAATGCACAAGACCCAAAATGTTATAGCGTCGCGTCGTCGTGGACACTTTTTATTTATACTTAAACAAATTTAAAGAAACGATGGTCTGGAATGTTTTGCTACATTTTATAAAATATAAATAGAACTTTCTTTTTTTTATAATAGTCTAACTTCATTTTACTTTCATTAAGATTTTGAAAATGCAATTTACGGTGTAGTAAAAGTAAACGTATCAAATTGCTATGTCGCACCTGGAAAACCGCAGTAATTGTTGTTGCGCTATTTATTTACATGAATTTTATACGAAACCTAAGACGGGTCGTAATGCATTCAGCGTCACGTCTCGCGCTGGTGCTGCATTATAATTTTATATTTTATCCCACAGTCTCTTTGTTGATTACAGGTAACATTATACCTCTGATATTAGATATACAGCAACTGACCTCATTGTTTAATATTTAGACTTTTCTGTTATACCTGTTAAAAAGAAAAACATTTTTGTTGTTTCCTTAAAAGTTTGAAAAATTCGGAAAAATTAGTTCATGAATTTTTTACGTCAACTTACAAAGATCATTTTACCATTCCATTCCAAATAAAATTATTAAATTAGAAACATCACACGTAAAATTTATTCATTCGGCCCATTTTATATCGATTGGGCTCGTAATGAAATGCGTAGGCGTACGAATTTACGTTCTACAGTTTACCGCGCTGTCATCTGTCAACAACTGAAACCATAAACCAAAACAATAACATTTTAAATGGCCACCTTCAACGAAAAAGTTTTGATATCAATTTTGTTTAATTTAAACAATCAGCAAAATAATGGAGCGTCGATTTAGCGGCACAATGATTGCATTATACGAAATGTAACGTTTTATTATTATAACCCAAACAAATTCACGGCCGGTTTCATTTATTGCGTCGGTTTTTATTCAGTTAGATACTGGCTTGAAAAATCTCCGCCAGTGTTTTGTTTTTCTAGTGAAAGTTGACAAAAAGGCGTCAAGAGTTCGCGGTTACGCGACCGTTCAAGTTTTCCGTTCATTTGTGTTGTGATTGTCGTGTAAAGATGATGGGGCTGTATTCCAGTGGTGCGCTGGGCGGCGTCGAGGTGTTGGACGGCGGGCTGGTGGGCGGCGAGCTGACCGCACATGTCTTGAGCGCGCAGGCCGCCGCGCACGCCGCCGCCACCGCCGCCGCGGCCGCTCATCAACAGCAGCAGATGGCAGTGCAGCAAATCAGTAAGTTTTTACATGAAAAACTTTGATAACTTGGGCATACTTTGCGAAACTGGCTAGGTTGTTGACCCCAAGCTTTGGAATCCAAGTCAAATTGATTAAATCCATTGCAAGATCTAATGCTTTGATCAGGTATTGTTCCCTAACTGTTGCCTCTTAATTTGATACCAAAAAGCTGCTTTTACCAGTAGGAAAAGTGCAGCTATAAAATAAAATGGGAAATTCAAAAGTTTTAAAACTACAAACTTGAATTAAACAAACTTGCATCTTATTTAAGTGTACCTAATGATATAGGTATCCTTTGTCTGAAATTGTAGAATGAAGACATTTTTACCTACATAAAATGCTTCAAATAGGTACTTCCAAAGCCTACTAGATTCTAGTTAGATTATTCACCCCTATTTGATTGTTTTGTTGGAGTATTTTTGTTGATTATTATTATTACTATACTTTTGGTTCAGTTTTTTTTTATTTCCCAATAAGTTATTATTTACTTTCATTTAGAAACTCTATATTATTTTAAAATAATATTTTTGATTTGTAACAGTTACAGTCTATAATTTAATATGTCAGAAGGCTGTTGAACTGTATGTTGTATGGAAATTAATTAAAGCTTGAGCTTTACTCAGAGACGTTTCACTTCTTTGACAAAAACTTCATATAAGAAAAAATATTTCCTTCCTTGTTTAGTTAAAATAATATTTAGAATACATTTAACATTCAGTCTGGATGGCTTCCTTGATCCAATAAGACTATGTTATTGCAAGGAATTAACTGAATTTTTCCGTTTGAATCCATGCAAAGCCAAATGTTTTATGAGCATCTTGTTTTGTATTTACATGTGACACCTACCTATGGATGAGGTATCCACTTTAAACCATGACAAGTCAGGGCCGGACTGTGAGTTTAGGGGGCCCTGAGTGAGCAGTCTAATACTACTTAGGGACCCACCTAATTACTTAAAGTATAAAAAAAATGAGACAGTAAAATATTTGATTGACTTAACTTAGCTGGGGGCTCCTTGAATGTATGGGGCTCTGGGCCTGGGCTAATGCTTAAAAAAGCCATATGGTAGATCCGGCCCTGTCAAAAGTTACTACTCATTAGCTTATCAAATCCAGTCTTATACTTATTTTTTTTAATCAATTTTATGTTTATTTTGAATCTAAGACTAGGCGCAGACCACCGATTTTTAGTTGGCCAATAGTTGCGCCCGATTTTAAATTGTATAAAGAATCGGCCAAATCGAATCGGTGTAATGTGCGCACTTCCATACATGCCCATACTGATCAGCTGCCCGACTGAACTATCGGCCGACGAAAAATCGATGGTCTGCGCCTAGGCTAAGATGATAACAATAACTTACATAATTATCTATACAGATTAAATCCTATCTCATAATAAATATTTTTTTGATCCTAAGTTAAGAGTTCTTAACACAGCATTTAGACACAGAAAATCCCATAGAAATCTTTCAATCCATTCCATTTTATTTTCGTTACAATTTTATTTTGGCACGCCAAGATGTTAAACGAAAGCAGTTCTCCCGCCCACAGAAACGTCTCCGTCGTCCGGTCGGTCGACCCCAGTGAATCCTGCATCCGTAGCACCACCCACCGGTGCCTCATCACCGTCTCCAAGCAAGCTCTTCGTGGGCGGGCTCAGTTGGCAGACCAGCTCGGACAAGCTGAGAGAATACTTTGCGATGTTCGGACCGGTGACCGATGTCTTGATTATGAAGGATCCGGTTACACAGGTAAGCGCATGAGTAGTTGGGACTGGTTTGGAGGACTGTTTCACAGATTGTTGATAACGGTTTTAAAAAACTTGAAAAAAGGCGGGAGTCGAACCCACGACCTTTCGCTTGAGAAGCGACTCTAAAATTTTAATAACTGCTGATAATAATGTTGGTGAACCCTGAAAGTGCACTGAAAGGGGCCTTATAAAGAACTTGATTTTAAACATTGTTGTGTAGCTGACAGATAAGTCCCTGATAATTTATCTGGAACTTATCTGTCAGAAACGATACTTTTGATTACTTATGTTTCTGGACTGCCAAGTAATTATCTGCCTATAGCTATAGCTTCTTATTACCTTAAAGTCTCTAAAAGGCTGTCTGAAACTTATCTGTCAGATACACTAACAACTTTACTAAGGACCCTGATAGGCTATCAGGAACATATCTATCAGATAAACTTCAATGTTTGTTTTGACTTTTCTCAGATTGAGATATTGGTATTCAGCAAACTTAATTTGTTAGATAGCATTATATGGCAGATAACTAACTGAAACTTTATCAGCAACCTGTGAAACAGGCTATCAATGTTGCAGTTGATGAAAGAATTTGCTATGGATAAATCATCCCTATTTAAAGGCTCATAGAGTTCTTTTTCTATTTTCTTAAGTAATCAGTATTTAATTATTTATTTAAAAGATTCTTTCATATAACTGCAATAACTATAAAGGAGTGTGTACATTATATAACAAAATGTAAACAGTCCTTGATAAATTTTGTACATTTTAAATTTTTTATATTAAAATTGATGAAACTACTGCTGAAACGAATTGGGAATATTCATATTTTTGTAATTATTAGCAACTATATGTATTTTATCTAAAGTAAGTAAAACCAAGTGGTTGTAATAAACTAAACTTAATTTATAATAAACTCCATTCAACTTATAAATCACTTCCCAGGTCATACAAAAAAGATTATAAAGATGTTGTGATCAAAACTTCACCTATAATTTACATTCAAATACAAAAGCTTGTAAAAACAATGAGGGTTTTCGCGAATGAAAAATCCGCCAGATGGCAATACGTAGACGCGAAGTCCAAATGCTGCATGATTGGTTATTTTTGACATGACATTGACATTATGTCAAAATCCACCAATCACGCAGCAGTCAGACCCCACATCCACGTCCCGCCATCTAGCGGATCTTTCATTCGCGAAAACCCTCATTTCCTAAAGTCTTTGATTATTCCCAATTCAAACTCAAGCCTAAATAACTAAACAAAAAATCTCTAATTCAAAACATACACTAAAGTGATATCTTTCCAAAGACAGCGATAGGCAGATGAAGAGGCTCCGCCATATTTTGTGGTCAGTGCATAGTTCAACGGCTAGGCGTAGGTAGTTAGTTGTGGTGCGGTCTAGCGAGGGTTCTGCGTCTGTCAGTTATTTCTCAAAAACGTTTAGGCATCATACAAGTACTACCCGTTCGCGCTAAGTTTGCCGGTCCGTGGAATGCGCGTCCCCTCCCTCAACCGCGATTAAACACAGTTAGTGATTAAACGCAATTACTGTGTCTTATTTTACGCAAATACACAATTTTTATCAACAATATTAATTAAAAAATATTTTAAATATAATAGTTTGTTATAGTTAGAGACGCTTTTCTTCGAGTGACGACATATCGCCAGCGGCAAACTTATCGCGAACGGATAGTATATTACTTAGCTGGATCCTGCAAAAAACGGGATGTCTCCATAGGAAATAAAATCCCGCTAGATTCCTAAAATAACACTTTTAATCCATACTTCATTCCATTACTTTAGACATAAGGAATGCAGAATCGGTTCTGGTTTGAGGAACCGGGTTTTTCGGGTCTGGTGGTCATAAGAACCGGGAGCCCCGGTTTTTTCGGTTCTTTCGGTTCCAAAACAACAATATTTTGATTGTTTTTTTTATTGAAATAACACTTCTTTGAATAGACTAGGATTAATCAACAAATATGATTTACAATATTTTTCTATTTTTACTAAATTCTACTCCCAAAAATAAAAAAAGTAAAATAATTAGTTTTCAATTGAGGTACCACAATCAGTCTTTTTCATCCAACTTATCGATATATTTGACTATTTATATATTTACTGTCAGATGCAAAGCAAATAAAGGAGAAGGAGTGTTGCCAACTCTCACACAAAAATATCATCATCATCATCATTTAATTTTAAACCATAGGATAGGACGTCCACTGCTGAACATAAACCTCCCCCAATGCTTTTCATGTTGATCGATTGGTAGCGGCCTGCGTCCAGCGCTTCCCTGCTACCTTTATGATGTCGTCGGTCCACCTTGTGGGTGGACGTTCCACGCTGCGTTTTCCGGTACGCGGCCTCCATTCCAGGACCTTCTTGCCCCATCGGCCGTCAGTTCTGCGTCCGCGTCGGGCTATGTCCGCTGAATCCGCTGACATAGAAATGAGGAGATCCGTAAATGAACTAAAGTCGCTATTTTAGTTCATTTACGGATCTCCTCATTTCTGATTCGATCTCGTAAAGAAACACCGAGCATAGCCCTCTCCATAGCACGCTGTGCAACTTTGAGCTTCTGTATAAGGCCTATAGTGAGAGGCCACGTTTCCGAGCCATAAGTCATCACTGGTAACACACATTGGTTGTAGACTTTCGTCCTCAGGCACTGAGGTATTTTGGATGAAAAGATGTTGCGTAGTTACCCGAACGCTGCCTAGCCGAGTTGGATTCGACGATTGACTCCCTTTTCGAAATTGGACCTACCTAGCTGGATCGTCAACAATCTCGAGGATTGAGCTCCCAACCGAAACTGGGTAGGGCGCAACATGGACATTGGACATAAGCTTTGTTTTGTCCATATTCATCCTCAGGCCTACCTGTTAGGAAACTCGATTAAGGTCTTTGAGCATTGTGCCAAGATCTTACAACGATTCTGCCATGACCACAATCAGTATCGTGGGCAAACCGAAGGTGAGTGATGTACTCGCCATTAATGTTTATGCCGAATCCTTTCCATTCAAGGAGTTTGAAAGCGTCTTCCAATGCAGTGGTGAACAGTTTAGGAGATATAACATCTCCCTGCCTAACGCCTCACTGCAGAGGAATCGTCCTCGTGCTCTGCTCCTGTACTCGGACCGACATGGTGGCGTTTTTGTACAAGCACTTCAGCACCTCGATATACCGATAGTCAATACGGCACCGCTGAAGAGACTGTAAGCACTGCCCAAGACCCGAACGAATCGAAGACCTTCTCATAGTCTACGAACGCCAAGCATAGTGGCAAGTTATACTCGTCAATCTTCTGTATAACCTGTCGCAGCGTAAGCGCAAACAAAAATATGCCAGTGATTTTAAAAAATTGTAAGAAAAATGCTTAAAATATTTACATATCTCATAAAAAAAACAAAATACAAAACCAATAAGTAGGTAATCTTTATTAGTAGCTAATCTGATATCTTTAGGTTCTCTATACGTTCGCAATGTTCTTGTTACGACTCATGCCTAATACCTATAACAGATTTTTAGATAAATATGCAAAACCCGAAAGTACCGAAAGAACCGGGTTTTGAATTTTTAAAACCCGGTTCTTAAGCTGTCGAAAAAACCCGGGTTTTCCCGGTTCTTTCGGTTCCGGGATTACCCGGGTACAAACCCTATTTAGACACGTATATTTTTATTTGTCAACCAAACGAGTAATTACGAAGATATGGTGCGTTGAAGTTCAGCGTAACGTCACAAAGTGCTATACTTTTAAACACTCTTGACGTCACCGGTTTCTTTTTTTGCACTTTGGTGCGCTTATCTCTTTCAATTTTCATAAGTTTGAAAACGTGAAAAAATCGTGTGGAGTATTTTTTGATAAGTTAACCGACGGTAATTCATAGGCTCTAAGATTTATTTTTGCGATTAAAAGTCCCATAATATATTTTAGTACCAAATTTTGTTTAGCGGTTCCGACATTAAAATTGATTGAAGGTTCCTATAAGCCTTGGGGGAGGGAGGCCTTTGTCCAGCAGTGGACGTCTTTCGTGCTGAAACGAACGAACTAAGAAATACTGACAGATGTAGTAATAAGTTCATGTTGATGGTATTATTAAATTTTTGTAGTAATTAATTTCCCTAAAATCATAGCTTATTGAACAAGTTGTTGATACAATTTAGTACTTACACGAACACAATTCCTTTCTTTACCTCGCTCCTTTAATGTTTCCTAATCCTCTAACACAATTTTTATTGTAATCAGTAGTTGAACAAATAAAGAAATAGTGGCAACACTTAAAATCAAAAATGCACCATTTACCAGTATTTCTTATGTATTGGACATGTATTCGTTGTCAAGATAAAACACTATTTTTACTGTCTACTCTATTTCTTACATTATCTCCATAGACAAATCCATAGTCAAATATTTAGGCAATCCATCTTCATGAACCTACCTTGTCTATGACGCAGCACCAGGTAAACTTTGGGCTATGGTTGGAAGAGTACGTAGGTCACTAACACCGTATAGACCAGACTGGCATGCTAGAGTCACTAACACCATAGTCTACGTACCATAGACAAGAAACTCCTTCTGGTTCTTTATCTTTCGGTAGTTCCCCGTCTTGAGTCGAGTTGGTGTTGCCATGATTAAAATATTTTCTACTAACTTAGGAGTTTTGGTTTTATAGTTATTTTAGAGAGTAATTTGGTTTTCATGAGGATAGTAGAATAGTTTAAAATAAAATACTCTTTGTATAGATAGTTTTTTTTAATAACATTGCAACACTGACACTGGAAATAAGTAAAGATTGAATACTTCTACTAATTTAGCTTAGTTAGGATTTTAAAGGAGATTATAAATAGTTGGAAAGAATAATAAATTGTGTTTGGTAGAAAAAGTAATTTTAGATTTTTTTCAACTGACAACACTTATCTTGATATGTTCAAGAAAATGGTAGTTTGACGATAATGAGGGTAATGCTCGAATATACCTTAACATTGTGCTAATAAATAGTTTGAATCCTTCTCTAGTCCGCCTTTAGAATATTTTGAGTGTTTGAAATACTTGCCATTTTAATTCCTTGCAATGTTTTTCTCTTTATGTCCAATAATTATGTGCTAGTGAAGTGACTTCTTAGCACGCTTTATCGTTCCAAAGAAATATTAAGATTATTTTTTTTAAACGTTGGGACATGCAAAAGTGCTGTTTAAAAGCTATCGTCTGAGAATAAATTAATTTTGTGATATATGAATTGTACCCAAATAGACACGCAAGTGTTCCTATAAATTGTCTTTTACTTAGTATAAAGTTTTGTAGAGTTGAAATTCATGAACTCTAGAATATTTTTTCTCACTGGCAACACTGTAATTGTACGTATCATATTCCTTGATTAAGTTCGCAATGTCTTAAACCGAAACCATTCGTAAAAATTGTCAAGTTTTAAAATTGCAAGTATATCTTACCCTTAAAATATCTGAATATCGGACACCAAACGGTAATCGATAGCATGATAGTTTATCCTTATGAGAAACGAAGGTACATATTATAGAACGAACTCAAATCAATTTAATTTCAAGCATAGATTATTTTGATCTATGACGGATTTGACGTAGAATGTGCACTTTGCAAAATGCGCACTTCTCTTAACTAATGTTGTACAAACAAACTCTTTATTAGTATAGAAAAGTGCGCAATTTTCAAAGTGCTCATTTTGCGAAGTGCACATTCTACGTCTAACCCTCTTTGACTAAGATTGAATAGTTTTGAGTGTTGTTTTGTATTGTGTACCTTATAGGCCCGTATCTTGAAACGATGTTTAAGTATGAGTCTATATTCAAGACTAAACTCTGGCCTGTGATTGGTCTTACTTAATAACTGAAGTTTAAACTAATCACAAGTTATATTTTTTGCTTGAGTTAGATATTGAACGTCTTTTCTCAATATGGTCCTGTGTAGGGTCATAGTAACGTATGATAATTAAGTAAAAGCATAGTGATTCTAACATTTTTGTAATTTCTAAGTCATTGTATCTGTGAAGCGTTTATATTGAATCCTTATTTACTTAAGTAGATTAGAAATGGACAGCTTGATTTAAACTGTTCTATACTATTTATTTTATTATTCTAAGGAACACCTCTTAAGTCAAATGTGCATCTGATTAATTTAGTTCGGTCAGACGCAGAATGTGCACTTCGCAAAATGAGCACATGACTCAAAATGTGCATTTCGCATATTCAACTGCGAATTTTACATTTTGATTCGAGTGCTCATTTTGCGAAGTGCACATTCTGCATCAGACCCCACAGGACTTGCAACGGTGCACGGTGGATCNGAAAATCAGGCGTTTACAAAAAAAAATCTTTCATAATTTTAACACTTAATGAGAATAAATTTAGAGTATTGTTAGATTATGTATCTAACAGTTAACAGAATATGAAATCAAGCTCGACAAAATCGAACAAACTGATTGTGTGCAATGAAAAATCAGGCGTTTACAAAAATATTTCTTTAAAAATTTTAACACTTAATGAGAATAAATTTAGAGTATTGTTAGATTATGTTACTCTTTAAAAATGGAAATAGACCAAAATGAGTGAGTATTTGCTTTTCATTGAACAATAAATACAAGTTTTTCATCACTATATTTTAAGATTTTTTTTCACTTATATTAATTGCCATCTAATAAGTAAAACCTATCACATTAGAAAGATAAACTTATCAACCTTACACTGTAAAAATTTGAAGTTACTACGTTGACGCAATCTCATTTTATTTTAAAAACACTGAGTAAGGAAGCGATGTCCAACGCTTTGTATGGGCTCGATCCAGTGTGCGGTGGGAATGAGAGGTGGGAATAGTCCCGAACATATTTTTGTATTCTTAGCTACAGTTATATCTTATCATTGAAATCCAAGTCAGATTATTTCTAACAATAAACCACGATTCAATATAAACGCATCACTTCTACTCCCAAAGCGTTCCCGCGGCGAAGTAGCTAGGTCTCTTCGTATTGTTAGATGCCTGGTACTAAGTACTAACCCCGGTATAGTGTAGCAGTCTGTATGCAGAGGTTCACTGGGTACTGTGTGGTTACTGAATTTTTATACGGCCCATTTTTTGCCAGTGCCAGTTAAAAATTGTTTTTTTGTGGAATATTGCCCATTTGGAAATAATGTAGTGCACTTATACCTCTAAAATGACGCTTGTTTGTATGTTAAGAAAATAATTGACGGCAGATTTTTTTTCTGGTGCTGATATACCTGTACATACTGTTCTACTATGGAAGCTGAAGAACCCATGTGACATGAAATAAATAATTTGAATTCTTTTAAATTATATGACGTGTACAACTGCAATGATATAGTAGAGCCACAAGTAAATATTAAAAGCTTTTTTTCCTTTGGCAACTATATCTAGAAACTACCTACAAAAATATAGTATCTTTAATGGGAAAATGTCGTAGATGCTTTATTTATAAATGCTTCCGGGTTTAAGAAATTATTTTCCCTATTAAGATCTCCTTTGAACAGAATTCCTCTTCACAAACTTTCACGTTTTAAAGCCAAAAAAACCTATGTATCAAAATAGTGCACGCATACCTCAGTGAACCGAACTGCAGTACCACACGGCTGTAGCCTCCTGTAGACAGATCGCCACCGCAATAGTCTAGGCCGCGGGATCGCTTCTGTACCGCTGGCCGCGCTAGGGTTGCGGACTGTGACACGTCTTGACACTTGGCAACTTCCTATGCTTTGACTTATGGTCCTATGTCCCCTAGATGGGGCAGAGGGCGTCCAGATTCTATGCTTTACTGGTGGTATATTATGGAATGGAGAATTTGATGCAATATTAGCAACACAAAAAAAAAAAGATTTAAATAAATTTCACTAGATTATAAAGATTTTTCTAAAGAATTGGGAAAATTCTTAAAGCCTGGTTTCCACCAAAGCGGAAAGGAAAAGAGAAGATATGAGATGTGTTTGAATAACCAATCACATTTCCGAACCGAAACGTGGTGGAGGAGTGATGTAGAAATAAAAATCTGATTTCAATTTATATACGGTACGGTTATTCAATTTCAAACACATTTCCTTTTTACTTTTGTGGAAACCGGGCCTTATAAAACGATGTTGCTAACTTTGAATCATAATTCATGATGAGATCGAAATTGGTTGAAGGTCTTTCTTCCGTTAGAATAATAAGCTTCACTTTCAAAGAACAAAGTAGTTTTCAATTTCTTAGTTGTAGTTCTGATTGGCAAGATTTTCTAAATTCTTATGCATTAAATCGATTAGTAATTGATTTGGACGTGTCTTGTGAGTGGTCACAGTCCATCACTAGGAAGTTGCTACGTGTTTCGTGCTTAAATATACAGAAAAGGCGCTTATCAGTCCGCTCTGCCTTAGTCCAGCCAGTATATACGGCCGCATACTTACCGTGGCCGCGCGCAGCGTTCGCGCGGCTTCGGCTTTATAACGTTCCAGGAGGCGTCGTCCGTCGACAAAGTGCTGGCTGTCCCGGTCCACACCCTCGACGGAAAACGCATCGACCCCAAGCACGCGACGCCGAAGTCAGCCCCTCGCCCCGCCAAGACCAAGAAGATTTTCGTCGGCGGCGTCGGACAAGACACTTCTGCCGAAGAAGTACGCGCGTACTTCTCCCAGTTTGGATTAGTTGAAGATGCGGTCATGCTGATGGATCAGCAGACCAAACGCCACCGCGGCTTCGGCTTCGTAACCTTCCATTCAGAGGAGGCAGTGGAACGCGTTTGCGATATCCACTTCCACACGATCAAGAATAAAAAGGTGGAGTGCAAACGCGCTCAGCCGAAAGAGGCTGTAGCGGCTGCACCTTTAGCGCTCGGCAAGAGGCTGGTTCTACGGCCGGGCCGTGGCTTGGTGTACGCCACGGGAGGCGTCGGCGCCGTGCCGGCCGTCGGCGCCGCTCACGCTTACAGGTACGCTCCCTACGCGCTGCCCACAGCCGCCGCCACCACAACCCTAGTGGCGCCACCGGCACCGGCGCCGGCGCCCGCTCTGCCGCAGTTCGGCGCCGCTTACTCTCTAGCCGGCGTCGACATGTCCTCGTTCCAAGGCGTCGACTGGGGCGCCATGTACGGACTCCCCATGTACATCTAAGCTCTCCGGCGCCACCCCGAAGGTTAATAGGCCGCGCTGCGACTTTTTCTTTTCACGACAGTTCCTATGTTTTACTTTAGGCTCGTCGGCTATCAGTATTGGCGTGTAGGCTAGCTCGGTCGCACGACCGTTTCAAAGATGACGCATTTTTTATTTAAGGTGATCTCAGATATAATTTAGGATGCGAGAGGAAGCAATCTCCCACTGTCATGGTTTAGTAGATAGTGCACGAACGTTGGCAATATATTCTTAACTATTATTTATATTGTAGCGACGAATGTATGAATCTCATTGCAGCTCTGTATTTTTTATTATAATAAGCGTATTTTTAACGCGCTGCGACTCGTGACGTCATGGTTTTAATAGTGCCATTTTGTTCAAAGATGTTTCAATTAGTTTTCGATACACCCTACAAGCGAGCCGACCTCGTGGTCAGTTACATTTCAAATATGATTTTTATTCGATGACGTTTAATTAAGGACAGTTTGCTCAAATTTAGTATTGAAATTCCTACCTTAAATTGTGCCAAATCGTCATTTTTTGTAGGATGTATAAAATAATCTTCAATTAATATTAGCTGTTTCGATTTCACGAGCTTATGTAAGATGGCAAACGCAATTTTATCGTAGAGCAATTACGAGTTGTAGTAACTGGAACGTTTTACAAAAAAATGACGTGAACATCGAGAAAATGCTAAAAATAGGCGTCTTTCGTGCTTTGTTGCGTTCAAAAACCGCGCTTTTGTGACCGTAAATGACATTTCGTCATAATGACGCGCAACGTTGACGAAAATGACGCCCCACCGTCATAATGACGCCCATCACGTCACGGGGCGTAGCGCGCCTCACAGCTCACGTACTATCACATACATATCTAACTGAGTAAGCAATTCATATACATAATATGTATGACTTATTTACGTAGATATATTTATAGTGTGGGCCGAGAATGTTGCAGTGGCATTTAAATATACGAAATATATTATAATATAATATATTATTTACAGCAGATTTACGTATATTCGCGCTTTAAAATTCAGAGAAGAGTTTTATTTTTATTGTTTGATTATATTTAAATATTAATATGTATTGGCAACTTTTCGGTTAATATTTCCTTGAAACAGTTGTCTCTATTTACTTATAGAACAGATATTTATTATTTTTAGCTATTTAATAGTTATAATTTATCAGCATAGCTTAACTGAAAACCATCAGTCAAACCTGATGTCTCGCAATAATATGTAATAGACAGATACACGCAATATAAGTCATAAATCAAACTACTTCCACTTTAAGTGCCACTGCATCGTCTCAGCTATAAGTAATTAGTATTATAATTAGTGTAGCTGATACCAGGGAATGCGATATGCAACTAACACCGCAGCGTGTCAAATGACAATAAGCTATATATAAGCTGTAGACAGCCTGCCTTTGCCTGCGTTCCGTCGCCGAGCCACCCTGGTCGTGGGTTATAATGACAACTATAGTTTAACCGCTGGATTGTGCCAATCGAAATCTTGCCAGACCACCGCGTTGGGCGCCATCTTTCGAGCCACCACCGCGTTGGGCGCCATTTTAGTCGGCATTTTACGTTTGAGCGTGTATGCTTAAAATTTATTCGGAAGCAAAGCTGTAACTTATCATTCAAGTAATAGTCTTGCCATCCCACCTAGTGAGGTGCCATTTTAGTAAGCAGAAAGTCTTAGAACAATTTTATGAACTTCGGCTTCTTACACACGCAATACAGCTGCATTAGTACTGCCAAAGCTGCAAAATTGGCAGTTTTGGTGTTGTTTGAAACAATATTACGACTGCACGTTTGTAATTGCTTCAAGAGAAAACCAACTTCAATAAAACTGTAATAACTAACGCAAAAATATACAGTTAGCACTTTCAATACAATAACGCCAACTGCATCCAAACTGAAATTCTGCAGTTAGGAGTCCTAAAGCAGTCTGTAATAAGTCTCTTACCCAGTGTCAAGTGAAAAACGTGACCATAAAGTAACTACTGATGAAAATTTATCAAATATTAGCTTGCTTTGGTTTTTATAGTATACAAGGCAATGTAAACGCTAGTGGGACATTATACTTAATATCTCAAACTCTCAATTACAAAACGTACTTAAAAGTTACTTAAAAATATATTTTACGTGAAAAATCATAGACAAAAACATTAGACCTCTAAAAGGAATTGGTCAAAATCAAAATTCTAAAAACACCAATAATATGTGCAATTTATTCTAACATTTATAAATGTCTTATTTATGTTTCTATCCATGCCAAAAAACTGCTTTGTACTTTTTAAAAAACGTGATTTATTAATCCACCTAACTATCTTACATACGTCATGTTTAAAAGGTAGATTAACTTTATACAATTTACATTTAAAATAACCGTTTCGTGTTTCAACTGTTTTTGGCTTTGACCAATTTCAATTCCGTTATTTTTAAATCAAAAAGAACTCGGAGCAGTCCCATTGGCCGTAGTACTTAATTTATAGTATTAATCGACGAAAGCAATATAAATCTTCTATCCTGTGATTAGAAAGTATTATTAACTATATAAAAGACAAATATATGGTTGTGTTCGTGCAATTCCTAGTTGTAAGTCGAAATTCTCAAGGACATGGTCCCTTAAAATTCAAGTACTTAAAATTTAGTGAGATCATTTTCTAATTCTGTATTAATAGATAGGTTTTGGTAATATATTTATTGTTAGCGAAAATTAGCAAGTCTGCTCAATATTGGAGGTCTATCGTAAGTATGGCGCGGTGACGCAGGCAAAGTCGGGCAACAGTGTAGAGTGCATGCGGTAGCTTGGACGGCCAGAGCCCTCCGCCGGTTCACCACCGTATCCTTGGCACGTGGAAATTCCTTCTCAGTGTTTTATTTTGTTTTTTTTGCTAAATGCAAATACAGGGTGTTAGGTAAATGGGTATATGAGCCGACACTAGCCTATGTTAACATGGGCATATAAATGGTATGGTGAAGTCAGAAAATTGATATCCTCATTTTAATTATTTTAATTTTCATATAAATCGGATTTTATAAAATTTATTTTGTATGAAAATTAAAAAAAATAAAATGATGATATCAAATTTCTGACTTCACNGTGAAGTCAGAAAATTGATATCCTCATTTTAATTATTTTAATTTTCATATAAATCGGATTTTATAAAATTTATTTTGTATGAAAATTAAAAAAAATAAAATGATGATATCAAATTTCTGACTTCACCATACCATTTATATGCCCATGTTAACATGGGCTAGTGTCGGCTCATATACCCATTTACCAAACACCCTGTATAATTTATCAGATTTTTTTTCTTGAAAAACTCGACAGCCTCAGGTGACAATTGAATCCAAGATCTTGGTGACTTTTATTACTTTCTTTTCTACCTGTTTGGTGACTCAGTGGTTAGAGCAACCGCTCAGCAAGGGATTGGAACTCAAGATCTTTCGCTTGCATTTCGGGACAGCTGAAACCGTTGAGCTACTGAGACATTGGTTAACCTGATTGGTAGCTCAGTGGACAGAGCTGATGCTCAGCATGCGAAAGATCGTGATTAAAAATCAAGGCAGTAGATTTTTCAATTGAATATCTCTTGAATTGACACCTGCCATGGTGATTAATTTAAAAATAGATTGTTTAATTTTCCGGGAAATTTGAAGGAATGTAATAATTGTGAATTAACAATTTATTCCCACTTATTTTTGTTTTTCGTTTTGGGATATTTTTTTTTATATTTTCATGGCATTATTTTACATTTGAACTGAAAAAGTTACAACTCGTATTTTATTATTCAAAACAGGCAGTTTTTGTCTATTTTCTTCTTATCCAGTGACTATGAATCTCGTTGCAATTATTTTTTGTTTTTATTTTGTATATATTTCCACGCGCCAAGGCTACCGAGTGCTATATCACATGTATACACATACCTGCCCTTATCATAGCAGTATTCTTAGCATAAGTAGGCTAGACCTCTTGAGATTATTTCGCGGGCGGGACGATTCTGCATTGAATTTGAACCTATTTTTATTACGGCAGCTGCTTTTATTTATTTGTTTCTATGTTTGTGTTAACCCTAGCGGTTGTGTGTCATTGATTCGTAGAAGTGTGTTTATTAGATATTTATTTATATTTTCAAATTCGACCCCGGAACCGCTTCGCCCGCCGCTCATTAAATTAAAACACCTTTTTGTACATTAGCATTTTTCCCCTGAAATTTTCAGTATTAGATGGTTGATAATATTATTGTGATGTCTGACTAGTAACCCTCCGCGACGACCGCTTGGTGTCTTGCCAAATATTAGATGGAGCGGCGTCCTTAGTATTGTACTTAATTTCCTTCGTAATTTATATGATTTCACGCGATATTTCACGTTGATGACAGTCGCAGTGAAGTATCGGATGAAATGGAAAGTATATTTTTTATTTTATTTTTTCTAAACACCCCTGTACTTGTTACGTTGGTAACTTGGTTTCGCTGTCGCTCGTCGCCACTTGCTCTCACGAGCGCGGCCGACGGGCGACGGCAGTAGGCTAGCTGTAGATTGTATTTAGCTGAACTAGTTGGCCCGTACATAACTGTAATGGAGCACTTAGACGTACCCATTTGTGTCATTACATGATTATTATTAGAAAATACAAAATTGTGTGTTTTATTTCGTAGTTTAAATGCGTGGGGTAGATCTTTTGCTGGGTTGCGGTTTTAAGGAGCGTCCACAGTGTATATATTTGTATATAACGAGTGCGATTGGTTACATTGCTATTTATTAATAACGAAACGTCAATATCTAACAATGGCGCTTTGTATATTTGTTGTATATTGAATATATTACACTCCGGACTCTCCTTTACACTTTGAATGCACGTTTTTTCCGTTTTTGAGTAGATTTGAGTGTGATATTTTGGAACTGCGAAAATATTTGCCCCACGGCGCGGTACCTATTCTCTTGGGGTAACAATGGGGAGACCACCAGATCGGTAAGTCAGCGACTCCGCGGCATGCATGGGTGTATCCGGTTTACGGTATTTTGTCGCATCATCATTTCGCTACTGGGGCAGTATTAGAGTATTTCTCAAAAAAAATGTACATTTTGAAAAAAAAAAGTGTGCTTTGAAACAGTTCAAAAGTTTTATATTTATAAATCATCACACAAAAAAAACTCACACACAATTTTGAAGGATGACTATTAATCTTTAAGATAACGAAGAATTATAGCTATAATCCTACTTATTACCAAATATTTAGATATTTTAAAAATAGTCCTTTTTTACCTTTCATACAAAAACCTGTTTGCCACCCTAGCTTTTTCATGTATTTTTGTTTCATAAAATGCGATACGTAACTAAATTATTGTAAATTTCTTTGTATTATCGTTCTACAGTAATCGCAGTTTCTGTATCAAATTGATTTTCTATGGGGTGTCATAATGAATTGGCAATTTAAAGCAAAAAAACAAAATGAGTCGCTCTCATTTACTATTTCGTTATTTACTCTTTAGTTACGATTTATTTCTACTTTCCCATGGTTTCTGAACAATTCCGTATTTATTTTACACGGACAACAATAGCTGCACTCTGAATGGCTGTTGGCCTGACGTCTCCGCCATAACATCTATCGCGAAAATTAGTGAAAACGTGTGTGTTTTGTGGGATTACTTTTTCGTAACAGGCAGTAAAATCAGCGATTTTATATAGAACGGTAAGTCTTCATTTAACCATTTTTTGTAATACGTGTGGTACGAACATTTAGTAAGCTTTTATATTTGCTGTAACAAATTTTATCAAAAAAATACTTGTTTCTGATCTCATTTTGTCTAATATTTCGTTACGTTTTTTACGAATTTCGTTACGTTACGAAAAAGTACAACATAATGCTGAGTGTATACTGTTATTACCTGACTAAGCATAGTAATATTCACTACTTAATTTATTTCAAAAAATATAGAGCGTTAATAACAAAAGGATTGGATACTATCTGCTTTACAGAAGTGCCACCAGCAAAAAATTATCAAATCATTTAGATTACGTTTTTATGTGATTACTTCTTTTGTTTTTTTAGGAATGCCGCCAAAAACCAATGCCGAAAGGCAAAAAGCTTACAGAGAACGACTCAAAATGGATAAACATGATGGAACAAAAATAATTTTATTAAAATAGTATGAATGATTACTCCCTTATTTTATTTCTAACCCCTTAATATTACCCCGTATTTGGGTGCATACTTACAAATATTTCGAATTAAATAAATGAAGAGCATTCACAATATTTCGCCAATGTATAACAAGCCTTATGGCCTTACTATTTCGTTACTACCGTTTCGTTACGTACATTTTTTTTGAGAAATACTCATTAGCAAGTTGTAGTCGTCGATACAACAAAATATTGCATGGAAGTATATTGAGATTTCGTGTACTTGTGGTTTTTTAATGTTTCCACATTGACTAATTATTTAATTTTGTTCCTATTGTTATTCAATTACAGTATGTCAGTAATTTCGTGCTATTCATTTGTTTATTGTAGACTACACTTGGTATTATACACGGGTAGACACAGATCATCGTATTTATTCTTCCTGGATACACCCATGACGGCATGTAATGTATATTTTAGATTAGAAGCGCGTCTTGTACTAACCTCTTCAACTTCGGCATGGTTGGCATGACTTGAACACAGATTCTTCCATTTGATAACTTCACTGTCAATTTCCAAAAGGCAATTGCCGCACGTTGGTTGTGAAACGTGCTATTAAGGCTCCCCTTTTGACGTGTATGTGATAGAATGAGACAGCGCCATACGAGTGAAAACGACGAAGGTACAGTCGACAACCCCAACTAGTCACATTCGCTTAGCTGCGTCCCGTTCTAATCCAGTACTGTCAAAAGGGACGCCGATGATGTAGTCACGTAGTTTAGGCCGAGTAGTGCTTCGCTTGGCCCTCGGTGGGCCATTCAAGTCTTCCTGGAGGTCTGTCCAGCAACTTGAGTGCATCTGAAAATCAAAAGAACATACTTGAATGTTGATCTAGGAAATGCCTTCTATCATAACATAGTTATACTTAGTTTCGCTCTATTCACTGAATTACAAGCTAAAAGTTGGATGGCAGGTGCTAGTAAACATC